ATATAGCAGAGGGCGACGAGCCAAAGACAGCTTGTGTGCCAAGGTATGGCTCTTACGAGTTTCTTGTATGCCATTTGGTCTTACCAACGCACCAACCAAATTTTTCACTTGGATTGATTTGTCGTGGTGTACTTGGATGACATCGTAGTGTACATCAAAACACTCGATGAGCATGCCGAGCACCTACGTAAAGTGTTCCAAGTCCTTCGCGACAATGAGTTGTATGTCAAGAGGGAGAAGTGCAATTTTGCCGCCACGCAGGTTCCATTCTTGGGGCACATCATAGGTGGAGGCAAGTTGAAGATGGATGAGGCGAAGGTGAAGGCAATCCAAGAATGGGAGCCGCCTGCGAAGGTGCCATAGTTGCAGTCATTACTCGGCCTTGCAAATTACTATTGAAGGTTCATCAAGGGCTACTCCAATATTGCAACACCCTTGACGGCTCTTTTGAAGAAGAACAAGACTTGGGATTGGTCGGAAAGGTGCCAAGAAGCATTAAAGGCCTTGAACGCAGCGGTGATGAAGGAGCCCATGCTCGTGCTCCCCAACCCGACGTTGGCCTACGAAGTGCAGACCGATGCATCTGACTTCGCGATTGGTGGTATTTTGATGCAAGATGGGCATCCTATTGCTTTCGAGATTCAGAAGCTCAACGAGACGGAGAGGCGATACACGATCCAAGAGAAGAAGATGACGGTCGTGGTGCATTTCTTGTGCACGTGGAGGCACTACTTGTTGGGGTCAAAGTTCATAGTGAAGACGGACAACGTGGCAACGAGCTACTTTCTCACGCAGAAGAAGCCCACCCCTAAACAAGTAGGTTGCAAGATTTTCTGGCCGAGTTCAACTTCGTGATGGAGTACAATCCAGGCAAGGCGAACTCCATTGCTGATGCTCTTAGCCGCAAGTGTGTAGCCGCAAGCATCATCCAGCCCGTGTTTCCTTTGAAGGAGTGCATCGTCGAAGGCCTTGGCCATGGCCCATTTGCCAAAACCGTAGCGGAGTACATCAAGCAAGGTAAGACTCGTCGGTTTTGGATGAAAGATGGGCTCATCATGACCAAGGGAGAGAGGGTGTTTGTGCCAAGATGGGTCAACTTGAGGAAGGAGATCATGAAGGAGTGCCATGATTCCAAGTGAGCTGGCCATCCTGGCATCGAGAGGACGCAAGCACTCATCGAAGAAGCGTACTTCTGGCCGCGTATGAGAGACGACGTAGAGATGTATGTGAAGACTTTTCTTGTGTGCCAATAAGCCAAGATGGATCAAAAAAGCCCGGCAGGCTTGCTAGATCCCTTTCCCACGCCTCAATGCCAATGTGAGAGTGTAAGGATGGACTTCATCGTCGGACTCCCCAAAGTCGACGAATGCGGTTGCATCATGGTTGTGGTGGACAGGATCTCAAAGTATGGAGTGTTCATCCCTGGGCCGAAAGCCATGACGGCAAAGGATGTGACACGCTATAACACAACACCAAACTGCGACCAAGTGTAATCGTAGTCCGGAAATGCAGTAAAGTGGCAAGTTCTAATTATAAACTCGGGGTCTAGATCTACTGCCTACTCCGTGAATATTTATTATCTAGCCAACTAAGTCGATTGATTGTGGTTTTAACTAAAAGTAGTAAGAAAGCAGGAAATGATTTGGTTTTCTAAAGCAAAGGGAGAGTCACTCGGGAATGAGTCCCCCTAGCTCCTTAGCCAGGTCTCAGTTGTAATTACCCTGGATTGATTTACTATTGATTAAACTGCGAAAGATTCGACAGTAGCTTGGAATCTCTTAAGCTGACCAAGCCCTCTCGGTCCAACTACCCGGCAGACGACTAGTCTTCACCGGGATAGAAAGCTGAAGCAATAAGCACAGAACTCCACTATTGGAATTGGGTTCTAGTACAAAGCAGTAGATTGATTAACTCTCGTATAACCAATCTACCACTACCGAATGATGAAGCTCTAACAACCTAATCAATTTCTATCTATCTCAGGTTGCAGCAGAAATCAAGAAAAGATGATCAGACTTTAATTAATTCAATGAATCATGCATCATTCGATTAAAACCAAACAGTATAACAATCACAAGTCATTACAATCAAGATCCCTAACACATGAAACTAGGGTTCTTCATACCCAAGTGAGAGAGGGTTCTACTCCATAGAGAGAGAGAGAGGGAAACAGTAATCAGAGTAGTCATACTCATAAAGATGAGGAAAATCTTCTCTGGGATGATGATCTTCACTCCTATGATGATCTCCAAGCTCGATTGATGAAACCCAGCTCCAAAGCACCTCTAGGATGTGTTCTTCGCACTTTCTCTCTCTAGAGCTCTGTTTTTGCTCCAAAAAGTCGACTCTCCTCTCCTTTGGCTGAATTTGGGTTAAAACCCAGAAATTCCCGACCATACGGGCAGGCCAAACGGCCGTGTGGCTTTCCCAGCTGCCCGTGTGAGTTGTGCAAAACGCGGCGTTTCGATAAGTGAACTTCAGTCATCCTACACGGCCACAGCCACACGGCCGTGTGGATTTCCAGGCTGCCCGTGTGAGTTCCCTGGAATTTCCACACGGCCAGATGGGTTCCCTTACACGGCCGTGTGGGTTTTAGGCATGCCCGTGTGACTTCTCAGCTTCCCACCAAACGTCCGATCTCCGTCCAATCGACCCCGAACTCGTTCCTAAACCTTCATTCACGTACTAGGACCTGAAGTATCACAAACAAGAACAACCTAGCGTGAAATCGGCCTAAAACACGAGAATCAACATCTCAAACGACTCAAGAATAGGGTTAAAAACATGTGCAATTAACGGTCTATCAGGATGCGACACGACTATTCTTCAAGAACGTGGTCAAATATTGGGGCATTCCTAGAAACATCGTGAGCGACAGAAATGGGCGCTTCACAGGCCGATTTTGGTGAGAGTTGTTCAAGATCATGGACTCCGACTTGAACTTCTTGACCGCATTTCATCCGCAAAGCGACGAACAGACAGAACGGGTGAACGCCTTGTTGGAGGTGTACTTGAGGCACTATGTGAGTGATAGCGAGATTGGGTGAAGTTGATGGACACGACACAATTATCCTACAACTTACAACACATCGAGTCAAACAACACGAGTCCGTTCGAGTTGGCAACGGGGCAGAAGCCGTTGACGCCTACCCCAGTGGCAACGGGGTATAGAGACAATAGTCCGACAGCCTATAAGTTCGCTAAAGGCTGGCATGAGAAGATAGAGATGGCTAAGTCTTACTTAGCTTGCGCTAGTAAGAAGATGAAGAAATGGGCAGACAAGAAGAGGCAGCACTTGGAGTTCGAAGAGGGAGATATGGTGATGGTGAAGTTCTACCCTCACCGCTTCAAGCATCTCAAGAACGTTCATAAGGGACTACTTCACCGCTATGAAGGGTCATTCCCCAACGTGAAGAGGATTGGCAAGGTGGCATCCAAGGTCGAGATGTCGTCGTTATCTGGAGTACTTGATCAAGTGGCACAACTTTCCGAAGAGCGAAGCAAGTTGGTAGAATGAGCTCTTGCTTTGGAAGAACAAAAACTTGATCGAGACTTTCCATCAAGAGGACGCGATGAGGGTGTCGCGATCATAGATGGGGGAGGATGTCGTCACATGTGGCAGATGACATGGTGACAACATTGCGGTTGCACATGTAGCGTGTATGGAAGACTAGAAGCATAGAGATGCTCCTAGGATTCTCCACCTAAATGAGAGAGCTTAATGGTGCACTTATGAGTCACATAATGGGTGACATTAGTAGAGTGCCTTATGGGGGGACTTAATGGGGTGTAGTAATGGAGAGGAACATTATGAGGGGCATTGATGCCTTGTATGAGGAGAGGCCTATATAAGGAGCCATCTCCCTCACTTGTAACTCATTCCACATTTTTTAGAGCAATACACACTAGAGAAGTAGAGTGTTCTCCCACTTTCTTTGTCTTCTTGCTTTTGCTTGCTTGTGAGTTTGAGAGAAGGCTGTTTCGTTCTCTAAAAAATTTGAGAGCTAAGGCCGCACGACCGAGACTAAGGTTGTGACAGAGGCATAAATGTCCAGGACCTGGAATACTACCTGTATACTAGACATATATGAAATATTTTAATGAAGGGAGGTTCTCAATGTGCTGCTTAGGTATGCAGGTATACACGTGCTCCAAAAAAAGTCAATGTCCAAAGTAATCGAGATAGTCGACGCGGGAGAGTTGGCCTCTCTATAAACATCCTCAATAGGAATTTGACATCAACAACCTTATAGCCGAGTGATCTATATACTACCATAACAAAGTGAGTATTAATCAATGACGTCGATTGAATCAAGTGTGTAATCATACGAAATTTTAATCATAAAACAACGGTATAAATCCAAAATTTAAAATTGCCATTATGTAATACTAACTTTATTAACTAGTTCTCATAGTTTTGGGCCTATGTGAAATTATGTGATTGTTAGCCCCCAACACCCAAAACGGGGCAAAAATCATTAGGCAGAAGATCCAGTAGTTTAATCCTTTGAACTTTGGGCCTATGTGCAGTACAGGGCTCGAATGCATGAATTGTAACACCACCTCTTGCTACAATATCGATAGATTTGCATGTGCAACAAGCCAACAACCAACTAATCAATGACAAAACTATATCTAATTATAAGCTATAAAATATAAACTTTATGGTTAACAAAAGGGATAGAATGTTAATTATCTTCCTTTAATAACCGAGCTCAATTACAAAAGAATATCAATATTTGATTTATTTTAACTCGACCCCTAAATCTTGAATATGAAGTGACACTTCACATTCAAATCGGTAGAACTCTAATTGAGATGTGTAACGAGTTGATGTGTATTGAATTGTACCAGATCAAATCAACGCACACCATACAGAACCAAATATAATACAAAACCAAATATAAGTTGTTCGGTTTTTTGTTTCCATATATTGAAGAAATAGACCTAATAAACATTTGTACCAGACCAAATTCTAAGATATTTTTAATTATTGGACCGCAATTCTCATTATTTTAATTTCATCTTTAACTGTTGAACGCCCATAAACTCTGATTTTCAGACCTTGCACATAATATAATTTATCAAAGCCAAGCTCAACACTCTCTGTTAGGAAAAACCGAAGTCCAAACACATCAACTCAGAAAACACAGAAAAACTACGTACGTGTCTACGAATTCCAACTAATTGTTTTATGTTTATTTATTTATTTATTTATTTTTGTATTGCTCCATCACCATCTTGAAAATTTAAACCAACTCCGATTACTACAGTGACAACCCCTCAATACCGCCGATCGAGTCACGGTAACTGATCGCCGTACAACTTGACCTCAGCCGAAGAGGTTATCAATATGCTCGACTGAAAAGACATAGCGTCGCCATCAATCCAACGGCTGAAATCAAGTTTACTCGTAAATCCAACGATCTCAACTCGTACTTATTATAACAGAGGGATCGTGTCTCCACGTCACCGAAATCCCTCAAAACCCAGCGAGAATCTCAACGGCTTCCTCGACAGCAGACTTCAGCACCGACTCCACCCCGGTACTCCTCCTCGAACAATTTCCGCGAATCTCGCCCTGCGACCCGGTCAACACGCTGAGCTGTCCCATCTTCACCATCGCCACAGCAAACTTCTCGTAGAACAGCGACTGGTTAATTGCAAAACCGGTCACGATCCCTCTGGTCCTCGAATCCGTATACAAATCCTGGTCCGAGGTGAACAAGCCCTGCCGGTTCATCAAGTCGACGTAGTACTTGTTGTCGAACAGGTTGGGCGAGCGGATGTCCATGTTGACGGTGCCGTCGACGGTCGCGGCCTGCGGACAGGCGGCCTTGAGGTTGTTGGCGAAGGTCTTGTCCATGGTGGCGTCCTGGCTCGGGTAGAGGCGGCGGGTGAAGGACGAGCAGTGGCTGATCCCGATCGTGTGGCCGCCGGAGAGCGCCACGACGTCGGTCGGGTCGAAGTTTTTGGGGGCCAGGGCGGTGAGGAGCTGGCCAGTGGTGGCGGTGGGAGGCGGGAGATTGTCGAGGGTGGCGGCGCGTGTGGCTAGGGTTAGGCCGTCGCGGCGGCCTAGGGGGACTCTGTAGTTGGGCCCTCCCGACTGTGAAAAAAAAAAAGAACGTTAAATTTATATGAGTATCTTAGTATTCATATTCGTCTCGTTATACGTTGAGGTTGATATGGTAAGAAATATTTATTTAGTAACACAACGGATATGTTGACTCATTTTTACATATTATTTTACTAAACAAAAAAAAATAATAATAATAATAATAAAGTGAATAATTGAGTCTAATTAGTTGAAAAATAATCTAATTAATTTAAAAAAAATATAAATATATATGGTAAGAAATTGAGATGGAATGAGCCAACAATGAGACTGGGTAGGACAAAACGAGTGAAAAAGATATATGTATGTATATACCAGGGCGACGGAGTCGCGGGCGGCGACGGCGAGGATGTCGGAGCAGGAGACGACGCGGCCGCACTGCTTGTGGACGCGGGCGCGGAGGTCTTCGATGATGCGAAAGGCTTCCTGTCGGAGGCTGAGGTTTGGTGGGGCGCCTTGCTCCTCGCTGGGCCCGCCGGCGGATCCACTCAGCAAAACCGACCCGTCACATCCCTGTTGTGTTGTGTTGTGTTGTGCCCCAGAAAGAAGGGAAGGGAAGGGAAGATCGATGATGAAAGAAAAACACACATGTCAACTCAAAGGTCATCAATTCATCCGTCAAACTTACTTATTGCAGTTGCCAGTTGCACCCCATAAGCCATTAATTACTTAACTTTCGGTGGCGGTGAGTGACCGGTTGCATTATTATTATTATTATTATTATACGTGTGTGTTGATTTCATCATAAATCTTGTACCTAACGTGACAGTAATGCAGACCAGACAGCCGCTCTCTAACTTTATCTTCACACCCATGCTCCGGGGACCTCATGCTCGAGTTTCCAGAAAACTTTTTGTCCCATGTTTTGACACTCGCATAATTATATAACTAATAATTACAGTAGCAATATGATAACGATTACAAAGACCTTGTAGTTGGTGGCGGATCTCAAATGTAAATAAAAGATTGTTGATTTGAATCGTGATATTTGGAGAGGGGTTAAGGCCTGGCGCAAATAAGTAGGCATCTTGTAATGAAAACATACATATACTATTTTTCTCTATAAAAAAGAGAAAGAGGGGCTAAGCCTTTTTTATTATTCTAAATTTGTTACGAATTTTATATATAATATTAAAACTTATGAAAGAGACTAAGATGTTGTTAATTACTCTATTTTCTAAATTTATCGCCAACATGAAAATATCTCTATATTCTAGAGCTGATGGAAGTTATATCTTCCCATTTCAATCTAATTCCACCACCACTGATTTTAATCTTGGTACTCTTAGGATTGTATTTTCAGAGTAACGATATCATCATGACCAGAATCAGAATATACTAGAAATGTAATAGTATCATCACTACCTTAACCTTACTAATTAACCAAGGGTACATATCACCAGCATCTACACAGTATAGTACAGTATAACTCGAGTGGATAATAGATCTCTTTCATCCTAATCATTTAACTTCTTCTTCTCTGTTAATAATTAGTTAGGATGAGTTGTAATTAGTTACCTGGACGAAGCAGTCGTGGAAGTGGAGGCGGAGCAGGCCAGCAGCTTGGCCGATGTCCTTCTTGAACACTTGCTGGAGGCGTTTCTTGACGATGGACTCAAGTTTGGGGCAGCTGGACGTGTAGAAGCTCCACGACATCCCTTTCACCAGCGCCGGCTCCGCTGCCTCAACCTTATGACTCGTGGCTGCGATGAAGCAGGCCACAGAAATAAGCAGAGCAGCTGCAACCTGCAGTGAAGAAGAAGAAGAAGAAGAAGCCATGGTTTCTTGATCTGTGAGGGTGATGTTGATAACCCCAAGGGAAGAGATATTTATACCCATTCAACCATCCAACCACCCCTGACCCTTCTAAGTTCTATCTATCTCTCTCCCTCTCTCTCGGTCACAAAAAAACAAAGGTCTTGGTCCACCAAGTCTTTACTTAATTTATCTATTCTTCTCTTTTTACGACCAAATGTGGTCTTTGTTTAAGCTTGTTACATATTTATTCATCCCAGAGGTTCGAGTGTTCAATGTTTATCATTTTAACATTCTTAATCAGATCAACCGGAAGTTAGTGTTAAACTTCTTACATCCATGTTCAGTAATAATAATCAAACTTTCTTTGAAATACAAAAATAATTCCGATAATTAACATTTGGATATTATTATCACAAAAGCGAAAGTTTGTATTTATTTGAGCAATCCATCTTATAATTATATCCTATTTATATCGAATCGCATTAACGATAGTTAAATTGTAGCCCTATTATTATATATTGATACCAAATCAAAGTTGTCCAAATTAAACTATAATCTGAACCACTGTTATATATATATAATTGGATTTTTTGTCCCGGAAATTGTAAATCTATTTTTTTTTTTTGAATAAAAAATTGTAAATCTAAGTGCACACTAGGTGATACAAAGGAAGCCAGGCAGAAGAAGACAATGGGAAACCACGTGGGAATGCAAGAAGTTAGAACCATCAACCATATATATATATATAATATATTATAAAATTGGTTGAAGATACGGTGCATAACCAAATTTGGACCCATGAGTAACTAAATCTTGAAACTTTATTTAGAAAATACAGATCTAAGTATGGAGAATTAAAGACATTTTTATTTTTCCATTGTTTTCTTAATAAGCTTATATCTTCTAATTTCGATATAAATTACACAATGGTAAAAGTAGTAAATGACAGTTAATTTACTTCTACTATCATGTATTCAACCATTCCACAGTCTTGGTATGTTCATATGATACGCTTTTATATCATAGGTATGCTCTTATTTCAATACTAGTCAATACCATATGGTATAGACTAGTAAAAAAATAGCTCAATTTTTTTGCTCCAAAATATATCAAAGTGGATATCATTTTGAAGATCACAATTAATCCTATTTATCCGCACAAAAAAAAAATTTGACTTATACGAGTGAGAAAACATCCTTTAAAAATTAAGGGAGAAATTAAAGGTTTTTCAGGAAAGATATGTAAATTCTGATTGAGTTATGCATAATTATTAACCACAAGTTTATTCATTAGATCTCACCCCATAAAATTATCCAATGCCATTGGGTTGTCGTTCCCTTTAAAGATTAAAATAATATATTCGCTCAGGAAAAAAAATTAAATGGCATATTCCCCTTCGAGAAAAGAAGGGAAAGAACCAACTAGCCAGTAATTATATAGGGGTCGAAAATTGGAAAAGTCTTAATCCACGTGTCTTATTAAAAATAGAGCCTCTAGCTCGGGCAACTTGTATGGGCAGAGACGCAGAGTCAGTAAGAGAGCATCCTGAAAGGGAAAAAGGATAAAGACCCAACAAAACCCTTTTTTTGTGGAACACTTTGAATAGACAGAACAGAATAGGATGCATGTGTCCACCCCACCTCGTGTTCCATGGTTCCTTGTATCTATTTATAATCCAACTACTTTGATTGAGAAAGAAATTAGTCTCACAAAAAATATTAGTAATAGAAAAAAAATGTTCAAGAACCTAATTTTCGGTGGTTGGGTTATCATAAGGTATTTAATTTTGGTTTTTTTGTTATAATTCATTCGATATTGAGAACAAATCAAGATTTATGGAGAATTTGTTCATTAATTTTTTTCTTTACTGAATCAACCGAAGTTACAAGGTTCTCTATCAGCTAATTAACTGTATGGATAGACTCTTGGCGAAATTAACTGTCTAGACTATAACTATTCCTAACTAACTATCAAATGAACCAATAAAACATAGGCACGTATGGTTGTACAATACTAATTTAGAACCAAAATCTATAAAACCAGCCTCCATCTACCAACTAAATGGTACCGAGTTCTATATTTTTAGGATAAAATTTCTCGGATACCACTTAAATTTGAGAATTGTGGCAGACATATCAATTAAGTTTGAATAGGGCGCCGGGTACCATTAAAGTCCACAAAAAGTACATCCGTCTAGTTTCCATCCAACCCAAACTTTTAATTATCTTTTGACACCCATGACTTTTAAAGACATCAAAAATTATATTTCAAAAAGTATTATCTAATATAAAAATTAGAAAACCTTCTAAACATAGTACTACTAGAATGGCTAGTAATTTTTTCAATATAATAGATAAATTAGTAAAAATAATAAATAATAACAAGAAGGAATAATAAATATAATAAATATAAAATAAATAATATTAATATTAATATTAAAATATCTATTAAAACCCCTCATTCAATTAAAAACACCATTAAAATGAGTTAAAATAAAGTCTAGTTGATCATCAATACATCAAGACGAAATAAGGATAAATGAAACACAATTTGAAAATTAATTGAAAAAATTATATGTCAACAAGTATTATCTAATATAAAAATTAGAAAACCTTCTAAACATAGCACTACTAGAATGGCTAATAATTTTTTCAATATAATAGATAATTAGTAAAAATAATAAACAATATCAAGAAGGAATAATAAATATAATAATAAATAAATAATATTAATATTAATATTAAAAGATCTATTAAAACCCCTTATTCAATTAAAAACACCATTAAAATGAGTTAAAATAAAATCTAATGGATCATCAATACATCAAGACCAATTAAGGATAAATGGAACACAATTTGAAAATTTAATTGAAAAAAATAAGGATAAATGAGGTATTTTACCCATCTTTTTTTAATAGGAACTCACTTTTTCGGTTGTCTTCTCCTCTCCTCCTCTTTGGGTTCAAAAGAAGAGTCAAAGGTTACCATATATAAAGCGAAATGGATGTGGTCAGCTCAAGATAAGGTCAGTAACCAATGGTTATTGACCTATGAGTAACTAAATATGGACCTTTAGATCTAAGTGGGTCCAGAAAATCTAGATCTTTTTTTTTCGTTGAATGAAAATCTAGATCTAAAGGTTGTCAACTAAAGACATTTTATTTTCTCTAGTTTTCATAATCGGCTCTTATCTTCTTCGTTCTAACTTGGATTTCAATTTTTTTTGCACACATGGAACGAGTTCGTTGTGCTCTACAAAATGAGATCAATTTTCAATATATTTTGAGAAACTTTTTTTTACCAACTACATACCATATGGTAACTTCTTCATTTTTATGTCATTTTTGAAAACGTTTGCTCAGAAGGAACGAGTTCATCATGATCTATAGGATCTACAAATTTTCTGGGTGAAAAAAATATTGGACAAAAAATTACCATACTTTACCACTATGGTATGTGGGTGGTAACTTGTGGTAAACAATGATGAAAGTCGTAAATGACAGTTAGTATACTCCTACTATCATGTATTCAACCTTCTTACCATATTGGTATGTTCATACCATCATGGTACGCTTTCTTACCATATGGTATTAAATATGAGCATACCATATGGTAATGACTGGTAAAAAAGTATTCATTTTTTTTACTAAAAATATATCAAAGTGGATATCATTTTAAAGAGAACATTTAATCTGATTTATCTGTGCAAAAAAATTTAAATTTCGACTTAAAACGAGAGAGAAATCGTCCGTTAAAGATTAAAGGGGAAAAGATAAAAGACTTTCCAGGAGAGAGAGATATTGATATCATGGCATCATGCTGATGTGGACAGGTTACTCATGGTTACTCACCGTAAGATTACTGACATGATTCGTTCTCGCTGTGGTCCTTGTATACCAATTTTCTTGCAACACAAGTCACATATAAAAAACAAAATGAACAGACAATTAAGGATAAGAAATCAAGACATTCATAAATAAATCAATACTCATGTATAAACACCGTCTGAGCCAATAGAATACACTATTTCTCCTTAAAGAATTTAGTTCCCCTCTACAGTACCCAAAGTTATGGAACTATTACTCCCATACTAGAACGTGCATACCCTTTCTGGCGAACCAGTACTTGAAACCCCAAAAATCAACGAAAGCAAACTAACGACAAGAAGTCACACGACTCTGTTTCCTTTTATGCATTTGTAGAGAGGAAAACACAATGAAAAAAAACTATTATTCTTTCTTTCGACCAATAATCATTGGGAAAAACTTGCGTGCGAAACGGAGGGGGTTTGTGCTATTTATAGAAATGAAGGGGTGTGTGTGAAAGGATATGACTCTTCGGGTGGGTGGTTACACCCCAACCATCGCATTGGTTCATTTTTTTTTAATTATGAACCATTGCATCAGTTCGGCCCATGGTAGTTCAAACCGGTTGGTCCACTCCAACCTTCTTATCAGTTCGGTTCGGTTCAACTCAATTTGGTTTGGATTGGTTACATAAACCAATTTAACTGAATACCAACGTATTACATCATATTGGTTGAATCCAAAGCCTCCTTCCATATTTTCCATTCACATCTTTTAAAACTCTACAATGTCCCACTTCAATGGAGAATGCTAAGTTTTGAAAACTATGCAAAAATTGTGTGATTCTCAAGTCTTAACTAATAATTAGTTGCATCAGGATAGGTGAATTTTCCTTTGGACCATCTGTAGCGAACATATATAGTATACTCACCAATTAATAGATACGATATCTTTGAACCAATGGATTTTTTTGCAAAATACTAAGACAACATATAGATGTCACACAACTAACTCCTATAGGGACTGGAAAAGGAAATGGAAGAAGAGATATATTGCATGCATGAAATGAAAGGAAAAAAAAGCAGTGTTGTTAATATCGAACTGGACATCGATCCAGATTAGCAAGAGGTTCAAAGTTTATCGAATAACCAGTGATTAACCGGTATTAAAAACCGTTCATAAATCGGAACTGACCTACTTGGTGGAAGCAAAGTCAAAATCAATCATTGTCTATT